TGATCGGCCAGCTGCCTCTGTATGTCTGCAGGATGATGGTGGCGAAGCGTCAGGCGCAGAAGACGCGTCTCCAAAGTGGATGCGCGGTAGTTCTTCTGGATGGTGACCACGCTGATCTGAACCCTCTTTATTGTTTCCTAAATGACAACATGAAAACACACACATTTAAAGTGGACCTATCATGCTATATTTGAAACATATATTGTTGGCCATACATATACAAAACATGGTCTGTGAAGTTTTTTTTCAAAGAATACCCAAACAGATCCACCCAGGCCTCATACTGCTCAAACCCCTCTGTTGAGCCCGCTGTTAGAAAACGCGGATCTGGTCCTTAGCTTGAAAAAATAAAGAAGAGGAGGCGAGCTAATGCCTGATCAGAATTCTACCGGAGGTAAAGTTAAAATTCTGCTGTGATAAAACGTCATCCTGTTCTAAACGACATCAAGGGATTATTTCGAAACAGTATGGGAGCTCAAATGCTTTTCTCTTGCGGTTTATCACAGGTGAGTTCTTCTTTATTCCTGCTTTTAAACCACATGTGCTCTCCAGTACAAGTTAGCTCTGGATTTAGCGATGCTTGCTAATGTAAACAAAGACGTTCAAAACACGTCAGGCATTGTTTCTGATAGCAACTTTCTGTGGGTCCACCGACGTCAGTTCAGATGGACACGTCAGTTCGGATGGAAATCTGTATCCGCTCGTTGTACACCCGCTTTTAAAAGATTTGGGTACGTAGGAAAAGAGAGAGGGTTTTATTTTCTGACGCTGCGTGAGTTCCCCGACACACATGGACAAATATGTATGTATAAAAGACACCACAAAGTGCATTTTGCATGATAGGTCCACTTTAAATCAAGAATATACACATGTGTAATCCAATATTGTATGTCACCACAAACGTATTTATGACAATGCACAGCCCGTTATCTCTCCCCATTCAAATAAACACCCTGGTGAGAACGCTTGTTTATTGTGACCTTTGCAATGTTTAAATCTTGTGCTGTTCCATTGTGGCCGTGTGGGCAGCTGTGTTCAGGCATTGCATACACACACATAAAAACAGCGCACACACACGTGACTCACAAAAAGGACCACACACAGTGCTCTGACTCTCGGACCCGCAGCCTGGCCAAGTAATCACTCCGTGGCCTGTGACTGGCCTCAGAAAAGAGGTAATGTTACATGTAATAACACAAAGGCTTTCCTAGCCTCTAACATGAGCAGCTCTGAAGGGAAGGAAACTCACAACCTGAACACTCATCCGTCCTATCATACTCTCCCAACAGAGCCTTTCCGAGTGACCTTACATGTTGAAGCACACAGGTGGAGCACCGTTAGACTACAACCCTGAGGGTGTCTGCATGTGTACATTTTTTAAGCAGCACAGTGATGGATGTCGTCCTCTCCGACAGGCAGAGCGAAGAGGGGGAAAAGTTGCTGCTCAGGCTGAAACGCCTGAGATTTACTCAGTGAATAAAAACAACATTGACTGTACTGCTGATTGTGAAGCAATACATTTAAACCTTGTTGAAACGCACAGATAACTATGTAAAGTATATATATATATATATATATATACAGCATGAAATGGACAATATTTATTTTACTTTTATGCTCGGAGATGTTTTAAAGTTGTTAAAATCATTGTATTCCTCTCTAACTCGTTAATAAGAAACAAGAGAAATATTATAGGTGCCATGACTCTATGTTGTTCGTGTCTAGATGCATAATTCTATGTACATTTCTCAAACTGTGAAAGAACAACTGACTTTTTTCTTCCCCTGTTGAGGGCCTAAGGACTTTTTTATTACATTCTTTGGTTATCATATTTTATTATTTCACATACTGGCCTACAAGACTTTCTGGAGTTCAGGAAAGTTGTAGAGATTGTTCTCCAAAGTTCTTCAAAAATATTCTAAAAATACACTGGACAATTCCTGTATACCTTAATTGCACTAGATAATCTATAAAGCTGAACTTATACTGTATATAAACCCCCATAACACACACACAGACAAAAAGGGAAACATGTGCAAAGGCATGCCCCCAGCCCCCTCCAAAAACCACACGCACAGGCTGTACACCTCGATTACAAAAAAAACACTGACAACTGCCACTGCCACTCAGCCCCTCACCCCTCACCCCCCACCACTCACCTTGCCACATAGCTGAGGATGTGGGCGCGGATCACCATGCCAGCCCTGCGCCGCACCTCTTCCCTCTCCTTCTCCAGCCTTTGCTCCAGGGCCTCCTTCAAGAACACCTGCGGGACGGGCAGCGCCACGGCCGACAGAGTGAGAGAGACAGAGAGAGGGAGGTTGGGGAAGGGAAAGACACAGGATGGGTTAGTTCCTCTCCTTGGTAAGGCTGCAACAGAGGGCCCAAAAGAGATGTGAAGGGCCCCTTGTTGTCTGTTGGCAGCACCCTGTGCCCACTGCAGAGGAAGCTTTGGTGCAGTTGAGGCTAGCGGGCTAGCTGCTCTCCCTGGCTGCAGATCAGATCAGAGGGGGGGGGACTGGCACGGGGACTGCAGTGTTGCTGCTAAAGCCGATGCTGCAGAGCCTCATTGTGTTCCTCCCTGAGCGTTTCCCTACTGCTGCTCTCCTACCGCTGCCTTGGTAGCTCGACTGACGTGCACAGGCAGAAAGTCACACTAAGGGAGGGGAGGGGAGAGGTAGGCAGAGGAGGGATGGAGGGATGAGGGGGAGGGATAGTGGCTTGTGTCCAGACAGAAAGCCACACCCCTCATTGCTCTTGTGAAGGAAGAGAAAGAGTTTAGTTAACTCTTTCCTCTCTCCCGGAGACTTTTAAAAAGTTGGCACAGTTTCTGTGGGACATCTGACAGCTTATTCTAGACCTAAAAGCTAACAAGGAATACAGATAGAGCAGTAACATGATATTTTAAAACATAATCAGTTTCTGTTCAACCATGAAAGCAGGCTGGGATAACCAACCAGTTTATATAATAAGTCAATATCTGTCACTAGCCTGGAGGATGAACTGCTTCTATAAAGGGTGAGACCTTTGAGTTGCTGTGTGTGTGTGTGTGTGTGTGTGTGTGTGTGTGTGTGTGTGTGTGTTGTCCCCAGATGTTCCACTAATCAAAGGACGCCGCAGCTGCAGCCGTGCCTGCCTCTGTAAAGTCTGTGAAAAGAGGAAGCTTCCTCTTCGTCCACATCCTTCCCTCGTCTGTAAAACAAATGTCTCGCAAACACACACACACACACACACACACACACACACACACACACACACACACATATATACTCACACACACAATTCATGCAACATCACCCCGGCCCCTAATTCTGGGCCACACACTTCCTCTGCACACAATCAGCATGTATATAATTACACACAGATTGTTTCTCCGAAGGAAATGTAGCCCCCTTTCTGTCTCCCAGCCCCCTTTCCCACAACCCACACTACATTTCCCTCAGCCCCAAAATATGACGCTGCCATCAAAAACACAAGCATGTGGGCAGGATTACACAGACTCGGTCGTGGTCTTGTTCTGCTTGTAAAGTGGAGCAGTCATTAACAGAGACAGTCTAAGGTCAAAGTGCTGACCCATGAAGCTTTACCCACAGAGGAAAAAATAGTTCCTGTGTCAGTAATACACGGTGACTGCAGAGATTTATACTGTGTGCATGTGTGAGAACTTTAATATAGATCGGCATGTGCATGTGCATTAGTGGTTATGCACCACTTCTAAACTTAATAAGAAACAACACATGAAACATGTTGGTCTCAACGTATATTCAGCATGTGTGCAGCTGACACTATACATAGTGTGCCAGTCAGATGGTGTATTACAACTAAACTGTCCGACAAATTTGAAATGTCTCCACGATTAACGGCTGCAGAGAAACCACAGCTTAGAGCAGGAAGTAACAAATGTGGATTTAGCTGATTTTAAGAAATCCTATAAACCGTTTTATTTATAGCCTTCGCATGCTGTGAAAAGTCCATCTTTGCTGAGTTCAAAATTATGCAAAGAGGTCATTAAAAGGTTAATCATTCATTGGGAGAGAACAAGAGCACGCTTTGCTCTGGGATGGATTGTTTGAAACAAAGGGGCAGAAGAAAAAAAAATAGCGCTATGATAACTTTTCAAGATAAATAACCATCGCCACTCCAAATCACTCGCCGGTTGTTTCGTTCATCCTCATGAAGCCAACTCTTTCAGCTGAAATGAGACGGCCTCAGGATTATGATAAGTGCCCGCGTTGGGTTACAGTTACAGTAAAAGTCGTTGGTGTTAGGGGTTTTACGGAGTGGCAAGTTACTCAGCGGTTGCCAGCAGGAGAGCCGAGGATTGACCACAACCGGCCACACAAATATTTGGGACATGAGTCACATCTGGGGCTGTCCAAACTGAACTGTGACACCCTTTGGGAATGACAGCAGCTCGACTTATTGAGAAAATAATATTCCCAGAAAACCCCACATTTATCAATTTGCAATGGAGCAGGATTTTCTGCTTAAATAGACTTTGTGCCATATATTGAAATCCATGAAGGAAAATGCTTAAAAACTTTGATTTCTGAGAAGTTGAAACATGTTTTTAGAGGACTTAAATGACTGACTGGTGTACTGCATATTATATCTGTGTGAGAGAGTTGGCACTTTCATTAATCAAACTATGGTGACAAATATCTGTCCACACAGTCGCATTATAGGGACCCGCCTCCAAATGAGGAGACAGAATGGTTGATTTACAAAGTAAAAAATAAAAACATTATATCAGAGTCAACCATTTTTCGTTTTTAGAAAGAAAACTGTTGGTATAAGGTGAAAAGCTAGGTTGGTTCTGGGTTAGGAAAGTTGGTACGGTAATGAGTTTGGTGTGTGTGTGTGTGCGTGTGGTGCGTGCGTGCGTGCGTGCGTGCGCGTGTGTGTGTGCTTCACCTTTGACTTCCCCAGTTGCCACTCCGTCTTGGTTTTGTCATAATGTGAGAGAAGCTCTAAGCAGCTCTGCTTCTCATCGTCTGAGGGCATTTTGTTCTTCAGAATCCTCTTATACCTGTGGAGACACACCCACATATGTTTAGTACAAAGGTAACACTTTATATTAAGGTACACAAATTAACCATCAACTAGTTGTTAATTAACATGCATATTAGCAGTATATTGGCTCTTTATTAGTCATTATAAAACACTTATTAATGCCTTATTCTGCATGACCATATTCTACAAGTAATAAGCCATTAGTTGAGTTTTTCCTCAATAACCCTCTAATTGGTGCTTATTTATTGCAAGTAAGGAAGTTACATGAGTTTTGGTCTTAATACCACAAGAATAGTTATTCTCCCATAATAACACTTAACAAATATGATCTATTCTCATGTAACAAGACATGAAACTTAGTGTTAATTGTGTCAAAAT